TTACATAAAAAACATGCCTAAAAAAAATTATTCTCAAAAAACCTGAAAATATTGACTTTTTTTATTTTCAGCTTAAAAACAATAGTTTTTATGCATTTATACCTGAAAAAATTATTTTTATAAAAAATTATTTTCATTTTTAAATTTTTTATATAATTTTGCTTATTTTGAGTACCAGGTTGACATACTTTAGAAAAAGTTTTTTTTTTCAAAATATTAGGGACCCGTCAAATTTTTGAGGGCCTTGAGCTACCCCTAAAAATATTTTTTGTTCAAAAAAATTTTAAACCTAGTGTTTTTGTATTAGATAAAACACATTTAGGGGGGTACCAGCAGGTTTTTCTCAAAAAAGTTGTTTTAAGCACCACCCTAATATATATATATATATATATATATATATATATATATATATATATATATATATATATATATATATATATATATATATATATATATATATATATATGTATATATATATATATATATATATATATATATATATATATATATATATATATATATATATATATATATATATATATATATATATGCTTCGGCAGGAATGACGGGCTATAGCCCGTGTCCGTCTCAGCACCCGTCTAAGTCAGTTTAGACGGGCGAAATAAAGCCCGTCTGAAACATAAGTTTTGTGTAAAAAAAAAGATGAATATTTTGATGTTTTTTTATTAAGATACTCTTTTAAAACTTCTCTCATGACATAATTTTAATATGGATAGCAAACTCCAACTTATAATTGTTTATATTTAAATATAAAAATTAAACAATTTAATCATTATTGTATAACATGATGTAGAAAATAATATAACTAAGTCTTACAGTTTTTTAAACGACGATAACTTTTTGATATAATACCAAACAGTTACCATATTATGTTCAAAATTTAATAACTATTATATTAAATAGGGAAATATACACATGTGATGCACAAGAAGTATCATGTTGTTTTGGTTTTTCAATGTTTATAATAATAACGATAATAAACTAATTATCCATGTATTTCGCTTTTTTCCGATAAACTAGTTTGTCTTACTTTAAAGACATTTAAAGTGATATTTCCGCGTTAACTTCACGTTTTTTCTTAAAGAGACAGCGGTTTATTTAATATGCAATTATATAACTCGTTATTGAAAATGAAATATCTCATTAAAAATCAACAAACGTCTAATCAATTTTTGTAGATAATATAAATAGTGTTGCTTTATAGTTATGAAGTTATTCAAGTTATCCAGTCATTCAAGTTTTTCAAGTTATTCAAGTTTTTCAGTAAAGATAGTAATGGCATCATCTGGTAGAAGAGTTACATTAGCAACATTTTTGAGTTGGGGTAAAGATGGAGTCTGTGGAAAAGAAACTGAGGTGGAGAATGGAACAATTTTTGTTGTGAAGATATGGTGTATGGTTTGTATAAAATATAAAAAAGAATTGCTTCGCGAGTTAAAAGGTCTGGCAAAATCAAAAGCATTAGCATTTATAGAGGGCGCTACGAACGTTAAAGCTAGCAACATACATACGCTTATATACATGCTTATATTGTATATAAAGTAACGGAAGCCCGGGTATCTTAAGAAATTATTAGTACTTCTAAATAAAAACTTATTTTATTAAAAGAAATTAGATTTTTTATTCACGTATCAGAATAACTATTTCCGATCAGGATAGGCATAGGTAAAGCAAAGTTATAAAAATATAAATAACAGTTTAAGTTTTTAATTTGCACGCCCAATAGAATGCAAGAGTATATAAATAATTGAATTTGAAAAATAACATAGTTACGTATCATATTACCAAGCTAATACCAAACAATTCTAAAACTACCGAGCTCATTGATTCAAGGTTAAAAAAAAAAAAGGTTTCAAACTATATGCTGAATAATTAAAAAAATTAGATTTTGAAAATATTATGTAATATTTTTATTCACAAAGAATAAGAGAAACGAATGAACTAAAAAAGCACGATAAAAACCTGTATAATTTAATCGAATACTTGAATAAAACAATAATATATAAATATACTCAAAAAGACTTCGGTAAAAAAACACGTTAGGATGCTTGAATAAGGAAACGTGATGAAACGCCATGGTTGTTTCGAGGATTTTTCCCGTCGTTTTCACGTTCATTCGTTTGACTATATCTGCCAGATATTATCTGGAATAAAGATTAAAAAAAAAAAACATAAAAAACTGAATAAAGTTCCTTCGAGTAAGAAATCTAAACAAAAGCAACCATAAAACAACTAACCCACGTGAAACGAAATTAGATCTGTGCAAGTGAAAACTTTGAAAAACAATTATTGAAATCTTAGTTTTAAGTATTATCCAACTCATTTACTGCAGTGTTTTAATTACTTAAGTAATTAAGCATTTTAAACAGTTAATCGCTTTCTAACATAATATTTTAGTGCAATTCACAAAATGTTTAATATTCAATGACATTTTTATTCAAAAAGAAGAAGAGAAATTAACAAATTAAAAAAAAAAAAGTTCAAACTTTAGAATTTTTTTTAAAGTTTAAAAAAGCCCATGCAAGACCATCTAGACGGGCGGCCCTCATAGCCCGCCAAGTCTATTTAAGACGGGCTTTTCATAGCCCGTACGGTTTTTATTCCTGCCGAAGCCTGTAAATATATATATATATATATATATATATATATATACAAATAGTATTGCGTACTATTGTAAGCAATCTGACGTCATACTGAAATAGCCTGCTGCTGGGGGCTTCAGTACATACATCGACTGACAAATAGCCTGACTCGCAGTGAAGTGCTGCTACATTGACTGAGGGTTTGGGATTGGGAAACAATCGTTTTATTCATCATTCTTCGTTTTTAGGTAAGGTTTGGACTTGTTCAAACAGTTGATCCTTATTACGAACACCTTCACAATTAATTCTGTGGTTGACGATCTTATATATATATATATATATATATATATATATATATATATATATATATATATATATATATATATATATATATATATATATATATATATATATATATATATATATATATATATATATATATATATATATATATATGTATATATATATATATATACAGTATCGGACAAAACTAGTGCAACCAAATAATGCTAATTTAGTTTCTTTATATAAAGGTGCTGCATTTTTTCAATTTAGAGAAATAACTAACTGTTTAGAGACAACGTTCTTCAAGTTTAAAATTCATTACAAAGTTCATTATTTGTACACAAAAATTAATAAATTAATTAAAAGTATTTAAAAAGATCTCCCACAGGTTCTTGATAGGGTTGAGATCCGGAGATTGAGGCAGCCAATCCATCACCAAAAGGTGGTTGTCTTGAAACCACTGTTTGACTATTTTTGCACTGTGTTTCGGATCGTTGTCTTGCTGAAAAACCCATTTTATTGGCATATTCCATTCAGCATGAAAACATAACGTCTTTCAGGATATTTTTATACATGAAACGGTCCATTATTCCATCGATTCGATGTATTGGGTCTAGACCGTTAACAGAAAAACTACTTTAGACCATTACATTTCCTCCACTATGTTTCACGGTCTTATGGCAGTAACGTAAATCGAGGCATTTTCCAGCCGGTTGACGTACACAGCAAATGCCATCGTTCCCAATGATGTTGAACTTCGATTCATCACTGAACAGGACAGTTCGCTATTTCTGCACATTCCAGTCAATATGAGATGGAGCAAACAGGAGTCTTTTCTTCTGGTTCTTTTGTGAAATCAGCGGTTTCTTTGCACGGCGTCGAGAAAACAATCTGGTTTCAACAGCACGTCGTCTGATTGTTCGGTCCGATACAGGCAGTTCTTATTGTTTTTGTATCTCGACTGATGATATCCAGGGATCCTTCTTGATGGATCTCTTGATCATTGAATCCTCTTTAGAAGTGGTGGAACATGGTCTTCCACCTTTGTTATCTGCTGCCAACTTCCCTGGAGAACGATATTTGGAACATAGTCTTGATACAGTCCATTTTTTCACACGATATTTATCACAAATATTTTTTTGTGATATTCCACTTACGTAATTGCCAATAATTTTCTTTCTTAGTTCCAATCCCAGACTGTTGGGAGCCATTTTTGCACTTGAGATCATAAAAATAAGTAATAAAACACTTGTTGTATTTCACTTCTTGTATTGATGTTTTTCGATAAAACACTTTGATAAAACTCACTTCAATAAACTGTCTTGATAATACTGACTGATTGACTTCCATATTACTTACTGAATTACATGTCGGTTTACATGTCTCTTATATAGTAACATAAACCTGTGTGAACCTGTTCTAGAAGATTCTAGATGCTTCTTTTCGATGCTTCTGGATGCGTCTGGATGCTTCTGAATGTTTCTGGTTACTTCTGGATGCTTCCAGATGCTTCTTCTGGAAACTTCTGGAAGCTTCTGCATGCTTATGGAAACTTCTGGATACTTTCGGTAATTATTAAAAACTTCCCTGATGTTTAAACGGACCAGACTTAAGAAAATAAAACAAACCAAAAAAGTTGCACTTGTTTTGTCCGCTGCAAAATGACACTTGTCAACGAAATTCTGCCTGTGTGCTGTCACCTGTCAGCTGATTGCTCATGTCATGGCATTCTATGACTCTAGACTCCTGAACTGTTTGCTGTGGTAGTATAGTTCGTTTCGTTTTGTAATGTAAAATTAGCAATAGTTTTTAACATTGTTCGATGTTAGTTGCAAATGTTTTGTCCAATACTGTATATACAACCCTCGAAATTAGGGTCGACATTCGGAAATGCCGACCTAACTGCCGACCTGAATGTGTTTGAGGTCGGCAAAATATTGCGGACTTTGTTTCTATGTTTTATTGTAAGACCTTTGTATCAACTTGTTTTTGCCAACCTCTAAAAGATTTGCCGACCTCATTTTTCCTAATTTTAAGGGTTATATATATATATATATATATATATATATATATATATATATATGATTTTGATATGTATTATTTATTTTTAAGGAGGTTCATGCTCATGACAAGGAATTTAATGTTGCTATTGATTTGTTATCAATGCTTGGTGAAACAACTGCTTCACAAAATGGACATGAGTTTGTTAGGTTAGTTTTTAGACTAATCCAATTATGTATTTAAGATTTAAAGTTACTATTTAATTAATTATGTATTTAAAAACAATGCACACATTGAATGCATACTAAATTACTTAAATTTAAATAAATATTCAGTTTTTATTGTATTATGTAAATAAAATATTAATTTAGTATGTATGTATTTAAGTACTATGTTGTATTATATACTATACTATTTTATAGAAAAAATGATGCATACCATAGTATGCATCATTTTGTGTTTTATTTTGTGGTTTAGGATATTTTTATATTGATTTTCTTTTTAGTTTATTGTTTCTCCTGAGCAAGAACATGGTATTTAAAAGAATAATTTTTTTTTTACTTTTTATTTTTTAATTTTCATTTTAATAGTTTAGTTTAGTTTATTAAGTAAATTACAACAAAAAAAAGCCAAAAATAAAAATAAAATGATCAGTGAAGAGGGGCAGCACCAGGTTTCTCCGTTCTGACAGTCTTCTGCTGCATACAAAGCAGCTATAGTTAGATAAAAAAAGTTTTTAAAGCAGTTGACACTTTGGGCATCAATATTCTAGTGACGTACAATTCCTATTGTAAAAAAATGTTCTCTTTCAATACGATGATTTACTCTTTGTTTACCAAGACTGACTGTGACTGTGAAATTGTAATTCAGTCAAGCTAATTGTGGACATAAAAAAAGATCTCGTCAATGTTTTGAGTGATTTTGAATTGCTGAATTAGGTCGCTCCGTGTTCAGCGGTCTTCAAGAGTCGTTAAACTTAATATTTGCAATCTTTGGGTGTATGGTAAATGCTTTAATAGTGCAACCGTTTTTGTTGCACGCTTTTGCACTTTTTCTAGTGTTTCAATGTCACTTTTTAGAAATGGCGACCAGGCTTGTATCATGAACTCAAGATGCAGGCGAATGATCAATATACGTCTATTAAAGAAAAAACTGAACTTTTATTCTGATAGAAAAAACTTATAATTTAATTTTGATTTAAAAAAAATATTTAAGTTGATTAAAATTGAAGTTAATGCTCGGGTTTTAACTTAACTGTCAAATTTATTTGAAAATATTACTAAAAATTGTTAAATATTTAAATTATATCTAAGACATGTCTTAAACGTATTTTATAGCTATATACAATGTTCTTTTAATATACTTTAATTAAATTCTTGAAAGTGAAATGGAAATTCAATGCAGTCAAGCAAACTAACTCAAAATGTGGTTGAGCCAACAGCAAATTTATCGAATGTTTTTGCGTCAACTAACAAAATATGTTTGGCTAAACTGCATATCCAGTGTTGTCGCGCCTACTAATTCAAAATTTGTTTGTTCGATCTGCAAATTCTATCCAGTTGTGCCAAATAACGCAAAATCCGGATAGTGAAACTGAAAATTCAAAGTTGTTAGACCAACTAATGTAAAATGCGGTTAGCCCAACATAATCTTTTAAAGCTTAAAATTTAAAAGCATTTTGCTAATATAAAAGTGTTAGTAAAGATAAACGTGTCCAAGTTATTTATTTTCAATGTAGTTGAAAATCAATTTGTTCAGCGCATTGGTTAAAAAACTGTGGTTAAATTCTCAAAACAAAATATTACTTGAGTGGTCATATAAAGACTTAAAATCACACCCCTTCCTGGCTAAGCCTCTCTCTCTCTCTCTCTCTCTCTCTCTCTCTCTCTCTCTCTCTCTCTCTCTCTCTCTCTCTCTCTATATATATATATATATATATATATATATATATATATATATATATATATATATATATATATATATACATGTATATATATGTATATATATATATATATATATATATTTATACTAGCTGATCGGTATTTATACTAGCTGATCGGACCGGTCTTAGTAAGTCTATTGCACACTGACCTTTTATATACATTTCCTTACATATATGTATTTTATGGGTCCTTTCCGGACCCATAAAATACGGATCTTTACTAAAACTACCATTTTTATTTTTATTCTTGCTATACAAACGACAGAACTCTGATCTTAGATCATTAAGAACCAAAGTGAGTGCTCACTATATATCAGATCTAAACTATATATCACTATATATCAGATCTAAAAAAGCCAAAACAATTTTTCGCAGTGATGTCAGTTTGTGGCAAAAAAATGTCATGTTTGCTTTTGCTTTTATCTTACATTTTTTTAATAATTTTAAATATGGTACATACAAATGAAGTTTGCATTTATTAAAATAGTAATAAATTGTTTTAAAGGAATAATACAGTAATATCAGAATATATCCCATAAAAATATATTCTATATATTTTTAATAAAAGAAGTTTACTTGAAAAATTTAAAATCTAATTTTTAAATTTTTAGGTAAAAACATATCTGTAAAATTTGATAAAATTTTTAGATATTTATATATCTTGAAGCTTAAATGTTAGATATTAGCATAGACTTTCGTTCACATAGATAAAATAAGAATCATTACGGATTGTTGTTTCAAAAATAATGCATTATAGCTTTGCAAAATACAAGATATTTTTATTTACACATTGATTAACAAATTAACAAAACGTAACAAGTTTCAATAATTTTCAATAATTTTCAAACCTGCATTGAACAAACATGTCATCTGATTAATCTAAAAAAAGTTATAGTTTAACTTTCGCATTAAATTTGGGCTCACACCTTATGTGCCTTGTGAGCCTTATAATTTTTCTGCAATTGGCTGAAAAAACATTGTAAGATTTATCTACAATGAAAAAAAAATTATACGATAAACTAAGTGAAAACATTACATATCAACACTGCAAACTCATTTACCTCTTGCTGATGTTTTTTTCTAGAACATTGTTAAAAATAGTCAAATTTTGAAGGAAAAGACATTTATTGCAAAGACAGTTATGCAAAATAACAAAAGCATAAAAGCTTTCTGATTTTGATGGTGTAGAAGCAGTTATATCTTTTCAACAAAATTTCTTTTTAAACAGCATATTAATAAAAAAAAGGGAAACAAAATTAGTAGTTTCGTTTTACAAATTTTTTTATTTACAAACAAAATTTAACAAAAAAGATCAATAAAAATTTACATATTAAACTAAAAAAATTTAACTGCATCTTCTATTTGTAGATGTAGTTAAGTGTTTTCCCCTGCCCAAGTTACTTTTGGTAATCTCTTCCCCTTTAATGAAATAAAGGAAATCTTTTCCACTATTATGGGCCCACACTTGTGTGCACTATAGGATGGCAGACCTTATAAACATATCAAATGCTTCATTAGATAAACCTAAAAATAAAAAAGTAACAATCAATATTTCTGAATGATATTTTAGTTTCATACTAAACTATAAAACCTTAGCCTTAGGGTTTAATAATAGTAATGAATCAATTGCTAGGGCTTTTAAATAGTGTACTGAGTACTATCTATGCTTTGAGTCAAGTTCTTTAACAAATTTACAAATAACTTAAATACCAAAAACTATAAAACACAAAATACCATTATCATCACCAAGTTCTCTAAACCTATTATTCACCAATATTCGTGGTCTTCGAAGTAACTTTTCTTCTGTTGAGTCTTATATCTTGCATAGTTCACCAGACCTACATGCTCTTTGTGAGACTAATTCGAGTTCTGCTCTTTCATCTTGTGATCTTAGTGTTGATGGTACCTTCTTTTATTTCAAAAAGACTTCAATAGTCACAAGCTTGGCCTGGGCATTTACATTTGTAAGAATTTGCCTATTTGCAGGAAACTTGGTTTGAATCCCCTGACTATTCTTTATGTTATTTCGTTTAGCACCACTTCACTCTATTTCCTTACAAATACTATATTGGCACTGCTCTAAAAAGCTAGTGTTTCTTGTGCCATCTATTAAAATTCATTCTTGTATTACTCCTCATTCAATTAAGTCTCATCTTGTTTCTGTGACTGTTTTTAAGTGCTCCAAAAACTCATATTTGTCTAGTTTTTTACCTCGAACTTCAGTTTATTGGAATTCGCTTTATCTTGCTATCCTGATTTATATAATTTGCAATCTTTTAAGTCATCTGTCAATCGTTATCTTGTTAAATAAACTTCATCTTTTCTCTTCCAGTAACTTCCAACTCTAATAGTGGTTTCTTGCAGCCTTGTTGGAACCGAAGATGTCAAAAAAATAATAATAATCAAAAAAACAAAAAACAACTCTTTGTCTTTAAAAGTGACAAAATCAAGTATTACATAGCATAAACTATATTAAACCATAAAATTAAATCATAAAGTTTAATTAAGGTAACTAATTAAATTTTATTGTTTTTTACAAATTCACAATAGCGCAACTTTATAGACTGGAATGTTTGTTATTATTTTAATTAAAATGAAAACATTCAGAATGTTTGATATTTTTATTTTTTTACTGTTTACATACATCCGCTGACAAATAGTAGGCAAGTAGAACATGCTAAGAGTGTTTTTACAAGAGTTAAATTTTACTTAAATATGAGCAACAGTTACTTTACTTATGCTTTTTTAAGTTGGAATGAATTGTAATCATGTTATCAATTTAAATATTTTTTGAATTGATAATTAATAAATTTTGAATCCCTATTTTTTTTATTTTTATGATAATTCACCTCCTTAAGGCCGAGAAGACCTCTATAGTTGAGGAGGCTACTTAGTTGTGGTTACAATCCTCTTTCAATTCTATAACTCTGAAACACGAACCTTGGTGAACAAGGCTGCTGCGCGGAGAAATGAGTTGAGTGCAGTACTACCAGGGACATGGTAAAAAAATTTTATTACGACTTTTGCTAATTTTTTCAAGTATAACAGGTTGATGTTATTTTGAGTACAACAACGTGACATTCTTCCTATTTTTCTTAGACATTTGCGTTCACTAACTTAACTAATGTTAGCTGACATGTCTATCTTGCTAACGTTAGCTGACATGTCCAAATAAAACTAAAACTTATCCTCTGTAACAACAGTCTCTATAGGTTGTTTCTATATAGGGTAAATATAGTTGTCAAAATCAGGGGTGTAGAGTTGTAAAAAAAAAAGTACCAACTTCGAATCCAATTGTTGAAATTTTCAGGGTATGACTCTAACTCCAACTCCGACTCCAAAGCGAATATGGAATATATGAATAATGAAAAATTCTTTGAAGGTTAAATATTTTGTACATGTATGTGCAATACCAAGAGGTTTTACTATTGGAGTTGCGATTTCGTTTAGCAACTCCAACTCTACCAATGTTTCTATTCCAACTACACAACTCTGACTCCACAGCCCTGGTCAAAATACAACATTTCTATCAATTTTAACTAAAAATTAAGGCATTCTGACCTAGAAAGAGCTTATAATTACAAAAAACTGCCAATAAACAATCATAAAATATTGTTAAATATGATGTTCAATTCATCTAAACAATGTATTTATTTAAAGTCTTATTCAAATTTATAAAGTTCATTAAATATATTCTCACATTATAAAATTTTTTTTTACCAAATAAATGCTGTTAATTAAACTTTTATACAGTTAAATAAAACAAAACAATTTTTTCTAACACGATAGCAATTACATTATAACAATTATTTAATAACATTAAGTATAACACAAAATTAATTTATAGCAATAGACAAGCTTAAAATATCGGAAAAATTTTATTCTTTTTTTTAATGCAAATTTGGTGAAAATTAAAAAATAAATTAACTAAACAAATTCTTTAATAATCTATAATGGGAAAAATAATTCTATAGTTTAAAGAAAAACATTTTCTAGATTTTCTTATTTAAATTCTACAAAGGCGTCATATACTTAAACTCTTTGGAATTAAACACGCTTGAGTAAATTATAACTAACCCTACCCTAACCATAACCATAACCCTAATTTTAGTTCTGAAGAATAAAAATTACATTAAAATGGAAATGGCAAGCTTTAACTAAAATTACAAAGTTGATTATTTTCTTTTAATCAAAAAAATTCAGTCCCAAAATTTTTAAAAATCATTCTTATTATGAACACAGCTTGTCTCCACACTTTATGATCCCTTTGCCTACACTGAGTACTGAGTATTTGTAAGCATAAACCGTTGTGTTACCTTTTCAAATTTATCTTTAATTTGGTTTTTACCACTATGTTTATAAATATTGCAAAAACCATAAGAGAAAAATAGTGAACGCAAATGTCTAAGAAAAATAGAAAGAATGTCACGTTGTTGTACTCAAAATAACATCTGACTGCATTCTATACAACATTCAAAGCCAAAAACAAACATGCTATTATAACACTGCTAGATAAATAATGGTAATTACATTTACAATTAATTCACAATTTTAAAAACATGGTTCCATCTTGTATCTGTAAAAGTTTGAAAATGCAAACAGAATTATAAGGGTAGAATACATTCTTTGAAATAATTTTATTAGTTAGAAAATTAAAGGCAACTGCAATACCATTATTATTGTGCAAATATCATTAGACCATTATATGTTTAGTTGATTATTTTTCCGTGTTTTATAGTTTTTTTATAATTTTGTTAAATTATCTTAAAAAGTATAAATATTAATTTAGAATTCATTACAAGAATACTCAATAGAACTCATTAATAAATATTTTTTCTTTTTAAGTTGATGCTTGCAACTAAAGATCTTTACAGCTTTGAATCTAATTTGGTGCAGATGGAAGAAAGGATACACATTTTTGCCAGTCAAACAATGCACATTATTCGAAGAGAAATTGTAAACTGTTTTGCTGGATTTTTAAAAGTTTATCACCATTTAATATGCGGTAGGGTATGTTAATTTCTTTTTGATGCTAAATTTTTTCATAGTTAGTTGATAGTCAAAATCTTTATAGTTAACATAGCAGGATATGTGGTGTGGGTTATAGTAGTATTTGTGGTAGTGAGTTGATACTTTCTTTTCTAATGTTGTTTACTTATACTTATTTTTGTAATGTTATTATTTTACTATTATTTTAAAATGTGACTAAATACTTTCTTAATCTAAATACTAATTAAACTCACTTAACACCATCACTCTAAACAGTGCCATGGCTAGTTAGAATTAAAAGAACTCCTGAATTTGCAAATGGGTTCCTAAATTTGAACCCCTCCCCAAGTGGGGGTGTTGGATAGCCTAATCACAGATCTGGCTCTAAATGTTTTTGCACACCAATAGCCTTAATACTCCAAATAACTTAACACACCAAACAGTTTCTTGTATAGATGTTGATTGGTTTTGTTTTTTGTAAGTTGTAACTTTCTCTTTTAAATTAAAAGTCTTTTTAAAATGTTTTAGGCAAGAAGTGCAGTAGAGGATCTCAAAAAGTTGCAAGAAAGCATACAACTGCTTGCGGTTACTCCTGACGATGGTATTTTTGAGGTTTTATTTTTATGATATTAATGAGTTTAAGTTCTATACATTTATTTAAGTTTAATTTTATGAGGTAATATCACAATATATTTATTTATTTTTTTTTCATTTTTAACCAGGGACATTAAATGCTGATGATCCTGAGTCATTTCAATGGATGTCTAAAGAGCATCTTTGCATACTTGTATTTTTAGTGAGTTATTATAAACAAATTTATATATCACCAATGTACCCAAGCTTGTAAACATTAGTGTTCAAATGATTTTAGAGTTTTTGTGTTTTGAAAACAAAATTGAGAGAAAAATCTCCATTATAAACAAAACCTATAAAATTAATACACATATAATATATGTATACATATATATGTAATGTGTATATTTATATATATTGACTTCATGATAAGGCTAATATACATAAAAAAAATTGGAGTTTTGAAAATGTTTTCAAAACTCAAATTTTTTCTAAGATTTCAAATCTACATTTGAAATCTGTTTCTGAGATCAGCTTCTGATTGATTCAGAGTTACACCTGTAGTTTAGTGCCAAACACTTGGAGAAATATTAGTGGATTTAACCATAGGAGCTACATTACCAGCAAAAAATATTCAATATCAGTAGTGATATTAAATATTTTTTGCTCTTTTAAACCGCTCACCTTCATCAAAATCAAAATTGCATGAGGAGTTCTCACTAGCATTTTCATTAGTCTCAATGTTAGATGCAACTCTTAATTCTATAAATTTATTTTTTAACTTTCTCTTTTTGCTACTCACTGTTGTATAAATATGTCAAAATAAATACTGTTGATTAATTTTACTTAAATGTATGAAATAAAAATTGTCAGTGAAAATTTTTTGTGTTATTTTTATTTTGAATCTTTTTAAGTAAATTTGTAAGTAAGTCTTGCAATCTAATTATTTTGGTTTGAAAAAAATAATTTCTTTAAGTACAAATATTTTTTCTTTACCCATTCTGGTTTTCCAGAAACTTCAAATCCTCAAACTTGTCTGCTTCTGATAATTTTTGTTCTTTTTAATTGTATTCTAAGATCATTTTGTTATCTTGCTGTTCCAAATAGAGATTTTAAAAAGGATTTAATATCCATGGATATTAAATTCTTTTTAAATATTCCAAAATATCATTATGCGTGAAAGCAACATGTTGATAAAATATTTTTTTTACTATTTTCAAAACTTATGACCATATAAAGTTCATTAAGACCATAAAAAGATCATTCTAATTTTAATTAAGCTAAGTTGCTTAAAAAACCCAGGGTTGATAGAAATCAAAACACATTCATCGTCATGCAGGAAACTGGTATTTTAACAACACATTTTTTTACCCTCTATGCAAGTATCAGTAATGAAAGGGGTAATATTCCTAATTAAAAATTTTCATTTAACTTTCCCTGGACCCTATGAAAATGGCTGTTTTTGATGGTTTTTAAAAGAAAATGATTAAATTGTACCTGTCCTAACCCAAATACTCAGTTAATTTATGTACTTAAGACTTGCAAATGGCAGAAGATTTTATGAACAGTCATTTTATAACAGTTTTTTGAGAAAGAATTGTGCAAAATAAAAAATTCATAATTGATTTCGTCTTATTATTTCTTAATAATTATTGCATAATAAATATTGTAATGTTCATACAGTGGTCGGCCATCAAATTAGGACCAGCTGTAGCTTTTTGTAAATATCGTGTAAAAATGAATTTTTAGGCAAAAAGAAAAATAATGGTGCAATTTAAAACTTGTTCTTTTATTTATAAAGTTATACTTGATAAAAAATAATATGAGGTTAAGATCAGGTGAGTTGCCTGGCCATAGCAATACATCAACTTTTTTCTGTTTTAAATAAGCTATAACAGTTTACGTTACTGGGTTTGAAAGTTGCACTATTTTGCATAAATATAAGATTTTTGACATTTTTATGACTTTTTTTAAATTTCTTTGACATTTTTTTGACATTTTAGACCAGTTTGCCATTTGGGGAAGCAACTGATTCTTCATAACTTCTTTATACCTCATTGTCCCAACCACTTTGTAGAGACACCCTGCTCTTTGAACACACAAATGTTAGACCAGATCTAAATTACTAAAGCTGGATGCTTGAATGTTTCTACAATGCAGTTAGGATGAAATTTTTCGTTTGTTCTGATGAACAAAACGAAAAGTTTTGTTCATCAGAACAAAAGTTTTTTTGTCTATCACTACTTGAAAGTTTGACTCGTCTGAGGATCAAATCTAAAATAATACTTATTTTAAGTTATAAAATTTATAAAATATTTTAAAATAATTTATGAATATGAAGGCGAATAAAAATACTTCTCCCAAATCTTAACAGACCAGTGACAATAGTTTCGAGCCCACTCCAGTCTTTTTATTTTGTGAGTATAGTTAGTTTTCGTTTCTTGGCTGGACATCAATCCCTCTTCTTTCAGCCTTCTGCGAATGGTCTGGTCTGACACAACAATAACAGCTTCATGGATAAGCTTAATCAATATGTTTTGTGGCTTTTTTCTGTTTTCCAGGCAGATATTTCAGATTATACAGACCGCTATTGGTGTTGTCTTGCGTTTAGAAGGTCTCCTTGGACTAAACTCTTCCCTTGTATCAATTTTTTTTCTTACTTGCATTACGGATTGGTGAGAAACCTTTACAATTTGTGCAATTTTTCATTGAGAATATTTTTTATTTTGTAAAAGACATCTGATTTGAGTCATTTTTGTTGGTGTCATACAACTTATATAATTGATTTCCCATAGCTAAAAATTTAAATAAAGAATTTAAAAACTTAGACTTTTGTTTCTTTACATAAACACAAAAAAACAACATTAAATACATTTAATGATTTAATGATTTCTATTAAGTTGAATGGTCACACACGAGCAGTGAATGCCTGAGGGAAGAATTGAAGTACATTAAAATAAAGGAGAATTATTTATTAGACAAAGCATATTTTGACAGTTGTCAAGACAAAAATAAAGATTAATAGAGGAATATTTAAAAATAAATAAGACAGGCTATATACCCAAAACAGTACTCAACAGATGCTTTTGATTAAAATAAATTACATTGAAACATCAATCAAACTAACAACTAAAAATAACCTTAAATTATCCATAATGCACCTATTTGACTATGACAGGTGATTGCTAACAGCCAGAATTGCCAATTGATAAGTTTTTATTAAATATTACTAAGAATAGAAATAACTTGGCATGTAACAAAAAAATTTATTTTATCATATGTGGGTTTGAGCCATCTATTTGAAATAAGTTATAAAAAAAAATGTGTGGTCCTAATGTGATGGCCAACCACTGTTTCATAATAATTATTGTAATGTTCAAATAAAGTCAAGTAGCAGTTCTAAATTAAAATCTACAATTTATGAAAGAAAAAATTAATTATGATAGAGAAACTAAAATTACATCTGATTTTATATATCAAAATATATCCAAGTTTTATTCTGTTACAATTTTTATATATCAAACATATCTTTGTTTCTTGTTTAATTATAATCTGTTTAATTTTCTTTTAGATTAAAGTTATGCACTTTATGCACAGTGGATGTATTGATCGAGCAATGAAGTATGCTGATAAAGCTTTAGCACTAATTGAAAAAATTAAAAGTATTGTTTTGTTTTTGTTTTTACATTTTAGTTATTATAAATTTTGTTATACAATTTCAGGCTTTGATTTAAATAAAAACAGATTAGCACATTAGCTAGTCATGATTTTGATGTCATAATTTATTATTATGAAAATGATGTCACTTTTATTATTATTATTTTTTAATTTATGGACATAAACTTTTTTTATAAAGTAAATTACCGCAAAACAAGTTTAATGTACTTATTAAGAAAAACAAATCTAGAAATGTTATTTTGTAAATATGGAGCGTCTATTTTGTTTCAATTTTTTTTGTTTTTCAATATTAAATAAATAAGTTTTACATTACATTCTTTACTGTCATTTAACGTAAATTAATTTCTTTTTTTTTTCTACATTTGTATAAATGAATTAAAGTATGTTAATTTTCTTTATTCACTATTTCTCAAAATTGTGGCTTTGCAAATAATAATAATTTTTTACTTTTAAAAAGTTAAACAAAGATAAAATGTATTGCAAAAAAACATTACTTGTTGCAAAAAAAAAAACTTAAGTTAATTACTTTATTAGCTTGAAAAAACTAAGATTTAAGTTTTTAAGTACAATTAATTAACATATATATACAATTGCGCTTTTACTTGCCGTACAAAAAAAAATTAAATGTACACTTTAAAAACATTTTTTGATGCAGTGTTATAACATGCTTACAAGGAATTTAAATTAATTTTTTAATCAAAGCTTTTCTAAATTATAGGAAAATTTCTGTTTTTACTTTTTTGATATTGCACAATCTGTTAATTATATAGCGCTGATGTAACTTATAAAATTTTATTTTTCTAAACTATAAATATAAGACATTGCAGGAGTTATGATTGCTTTAAATGTAAATACTGGTAATAATTAATTAAAAAATTTTTCTATATATATAGCTCTGTTATTAATTATTTAATACAATATATCAAGTTTAAGATTTCTTTGTCATTAAATATATTTATACTTGACTAGCTGAGATTGGACCTGTAAAAATACGGGTCTTTGTAAATCTATTCCACACCTTTTCCATACTTTTTTCTTATATATCCTAGCTTTCCGGATCCGTAAAATACTTTACCAATTTACATATCTATTCCTCACCGATTATTTCTATAACTATTCCTTATTTACTTCAATATTTTTTAGTAAAATAATTTATTCTGAAAAAAAACTTAATTAAAAAACTTAACATGTGCACCTTTTCTGCATACATAGACCTTATAAGAGACTTATAATTAGGTTTTTCTGCTAAATGCATTTCATTGATAGCTCAGCCGTTAAGTGCGCTGTCATCATTGTTGTTTTGGATGGTTTAAGTTCTTCTCTTAGCGTGATAAGTTTTCGAAATTCTTTCAATCTTGCTTTTATATTTATAGCAAAAAAATAATAACAAAAAAGATTTCTAAAGTTTAAAATAAAATTTTCAAGTTTTCTCATTTTATAGATATATAAGATAATATATAAGATAAAATAAAATTTAAAATAAAGTTTTCAAGTTTTCTCATTTTGTATATATATATATATATATATATATATATATATATATATATATATATATATATATATATATATATATATACGTGATTATTTCATATAATGCTTGCAAACTCAACATATGCTAAAGACACTTACAGACGTTTGTATGTAACACTATATAAATCAAACTAAGAAGATCTTAGAACACTAAAGTCGTAAAAAAAATTCATTTTTATGATTATGATTAAGAACTAAAGAATATTATTAAACGCTAATCTAAAAGTTGAGCCAAAAAGGTTTTGCGCATTGACGTCTGTTTATGGCAAAATAAACCTTTATGCGTTTCCTTTTGCATTTATCGTTTTCTTTTGCATTTATCATACATTTTTTTAATTATTTTTAATTATATTGCATACAAATGCATGAAAATATATAAAACTTGTGCAGATATATCATTTTTATGGATAAGAGATTTATTACAATAGTAATAAATACATAGTTTTTGTCTTTATTAGAATGTAATCTTATATTTCTATTAAAAATATATTTCATATATCTTTAATAGAAAGAGTTTTAAAAAAAAAAATGGAAATAAAATCTATAACTAAAATTTCTATAACTATCATTTTGAAAGGTCTAAGAAGCAGATGACATAATTTTAGCAATCAGAAATGATCAAGAGAGGGGCAAATCTAAAGTTGAAGTTTCAAATTTTCGACTTGGATGTGATAATATCTTTCGTGTTTTTTCAATCTTGTCAATTTTTTTAAATATAATAACATGACTACAAAAAAGAGATGGTTAAGCACAACAAAGTTTAAAATAAAATTAGTTTATATTAAAATTAAAAAATGATTTATATAATGTTTCTTTGCAAACACCAACACACTATGTTAAATTTTTTAAGTGTACTAAACTGCAATTACTTTTAATTTTTTTGGTTTAGTGGCTTTTGTTAAAGGGATCTCTAAGTGCTATAAAGATATGATCTCATATGATAGAGCATTAAAAAAAAAATGTTTGATGTATGTTATTTTTTCTAAAACGTAATAATGAACACACACTAGCAAATTTGATTTTCAAAAAAACGCTTTTCTTTGATTAAAAAAAATGCGTGTTGTCCAAAGTTTATTGACTCTACTGCCTCAAAAAACTAACGTTTGTATGTCAAATTAAACAAAGCAGACAAAATGTCATTATTGCAAACTTATTAGTTGGTAATTAAATTTAAAAGTAAAGTCGTTTTTTTTCAACTAACACATAATTACTTACAAGAATAAGTTTTGTAGCATTTTGTGAAAATATATTTGTATATTAAATTTTTTTTTATAATTTTAATTTATATATTTGTGTTATAAGGGCGATTCCACGGCTAAAAATGAATAGAAGTCAAATTTTAAACTCTTTTTAGTCAGTTAAAAACAAATGAATATTGAATATAGACACATGAAAGTTTATTTAAAACATTTCCTTAGTAGAAAAATAAATTTATTTCAGTAATTTTTATGGTTTCAAAAGTGACGGTTACTCTCATTTTTGCTTAATAAAAAAATAATTATTGTAAAATGTTTTAGTTAAATTAACATTTATGTTAAATTGCTATATATTTTTGGTTCAAATTGATAAGGTTAAATAGACATTTTATTAGAAATTCAACTAAGACAGGGCTCGAATTAACGCAAAAAAATCTAATCGCGAAAAAAATTTTTTTTTTTTGCTCTCTCCCCCTTTCTCTTATAACTCGCGTCAATGTGCGGTAATGGGGGGAAAAAATTATCGTCAATAAATCAAAAAACATCGTCAAAAACTTAATAAAAAATTAGATACCACGTTTTTTTAAATTTATTGTTTCTTGAATAAAGGACTAATAAAAGTTAAAATATAATTAAGTTTTTCATTTAAATGGTTGATGTTTTTATTCAATTTTTCCATTTCAAGTTTTCCAATAAAAGACGAAACAAAAAAATTTGGTTTAATAAATCGAATTATACTTCTTGTTTAAAATAAGGCTTAAAAACGTTAAAGTAAAAAAATTGCTGGTTTTTATTAGCATTTTTATACTGTTTGAAAAAAAAAAACTAATAAAAAAGAATTAACTAATAATATATTAATTAATAATTATTAGAATTAACAATAATAACAATTAATTCTTTTTTATTAGTTTTTTTTTCAAAGACTATAAAAATGCAAATAAAAGTCAGTAATTTTTTTGCTCTAACGTTTTCAAGCCTTATTTTAAACATGAAGTTTTGATAAACAAAGATAAAAACCAACTTTTCGCTTTAACGACCTTGTAAAAATTTTCCACGCAGAGATTAAAAGTAATTTAAATTGAAAAATGTTTTACGTTGAAAGAAAATCTCCGCGCGAAAGAGCAAATCATCTATTCATCTATCTATTCAGAATAATAAATTTTGTGTGACGTTCTTTATGATAAAAACATTACTTTTAAGAATTGCTAAAAAAAATGCTAAGCTAGAAAAAAAGTAATTAATCAACCAAAAAAAAAACAAGTCGAAAAAAGATTTTTTTTAAGAAAAAACTAATCACAAAAGTGTATGTAGCAATCGCGCTTAATACGAGCCCTGTAAGACTTTCTTATAAGTTCTAAACTATTTAAAACTATTACTTAATAACTTTTTTTTAACGATGTCTTTCAACCGAATGCTATTATACTGTTTTTGCAAAACTAATTAAAAAAACTTGATTAAAACTTAACTATTTAATCAAGACTTTTTTACTTGAAAATCAAAGTAGATATTCTAAAGTTGTTGTGATGTACTAACGTGATTTTTAACGACTAACAATTGAGTTTCAATGGTGAAAAAATCAAATCAAAATGGAGTTGTTTTTTAGTGATTTCGGCAATTGCTTTTTGTTAGCATTCATTTATTATTACAACTTAGCGAAAAAGAAAAAAAACTTACATATTTTTTTTTATGCTTTTTCATATGAGATCATATGTTAGGAGCACTTAGGGATCCCTTTAAGAGCTTTTAAATTTTGCATCAAATTATCTCATTTCAACATATTTGTTGTATCATTCATACTGCAGCTGTTTTTCGAAATGCCTCAAGGTAAAAAATATCAATTTTAACTTTTTCCAAAATGAGCTAGTTTATATGTCTACAAACGTTATTGAATACATATTTTATTCAAAGAGTTCTGAAAAAGTTCATAAAAATTATTCGTTGCAAAAATCGTTTTACAAAAAGTTTCTCCTAACAATTTTTTTTAATTGCGTTTTTCTTGAAATACGTAATAAATATACTAAGGCGTTTTAAAAAACGGTTGCAGCATATATTTATAGTAAAAAAGTAAATGTAGCAAAATGAACTTTTCGTTGTTAAAAGAAAGTTTTAAATTTTTTTCTAGCTACGGGCTTTTTTTTTTGCCTTCACAGTCGCACTTTCTCGAGTAGCAGGACTGTCTTAGAAAGTTTTTTCTTTATTAAGTTTTAGACCATTTAGTTTTTTTCAGACCATCCACAGCTTATTAGGACTAATTACCTGAGCATATTAATAACATAAGTATCTCAATCATGACACGTATGCAACAAATGTTTTCTCCTGGTGTTTTGATATTTTTAGAAATTTAAGCTTTTTTAAAATCTTTTTATTTGTTAAAGTTTATAATATAGTTACATAGTGACTATTTAATCTTAAAAAGTATTTTGTATTTTAAAATAATCGAAAAAAGTTAAAAAAAAAAAAAGTTGCCAGTGATAGGACTCAAACCGCAGCTTATTTGTTAAGAAGCTCAGCGCGCTATCCACTGGCACGTTGATAGAAGAAATTTTTAAAACTATATAGTAATATTTTTAACAGAAACAAATGTTATAGATCAAAATAAAGGAGAGCTTGATTAAATGCAATTTTCAAGCAAAAATCAAACTGTAAAACTTGATAAACGTTTCAGTATGTTTTAACATTTATTAATTTAAAGTTTACGTACGTTTTAAATTTGCATACACTTTCGATACGTTTTCTTGTAAAACAAAGTGCTGCAACTCTTTCTCACCACTACCTTGGTTGCATTGGCTGCCAATGGCTCCCTCGAAATATTATTTGAAAAATTAAAAACAGAATTATATCATAGAAAAAGTTTTTTTACTTAATTATAAAAAAATAAAAACTAGAAGATGTCATTTAAAGTTTGTAATAATTAATGTTTTTTCATTTTTTTGATAAAATCAATCATTATAACAAAACAAACAAAACAAAAAAATTAAAATATTAAGAATTTTTTATTTTTATTTTTATTAGACCCCTAGCTAAAAAATAGTTTTTTATCTATGGGTTGTCCATAAAGTATGTATGGTCATAGAGGGATGGGGAGGGGGTCTTCAAATAGCATAGGAAAGTGTATAGGGGAAGGGAAGGTGAGGATTAAATTTAAATGTACCTACTTCATTTTTGTAATTTATCACAGTTAACTAGCTAACCAATAGAAAAGTTAAAATTGAGACTAAAGATCCTAGTTTGCCAACATTAAAGGATGTATGGTATAGGGGAGTCAAGGGTATAGTGTCCCTTTATGCAAACACATGCCCTTTATATACTGACCCTGGGTAAGGCTGACTTGAATTTCAGGCAACCCCTTTTTAAGTCCACAAAAGCAGGTTTTAGCAGTGCTGTGGCTAATGGGCCCGAGGTTTCCCCCAAAAAAATTAAGATCTCAAAATCTTCAAATTTTAAAAATGAAAAGCTCCTTGAATTTGCAAAAGGGCCCCTAAATTTGCTGGACCTCTCCCTCCTTCTTTAATTAGGAGGTATGGGTAGCCTACCTCTGACACTGGGTTTTAGACTTTGTTTTCAATATTACTGATCTCGCGTAGGACTCGTTTTTGACAGACTTACTAAAGAAGGGCCTTAAAAAAATGTCTACTCAAGTTAAGTTTTTTCATTTGATTCGTCATTAGAACATTTTTTTTTTAATAAATAGTAAAACGAGACTTGACTGTGAATTGATCTTGCACCGCTAAGTCGCAAGCTTTAACTTCTCAGTCAAATGAACATACTAATTAAAGAGTAATTTCATTTTATTAAAAAAAAATATTTGTATATATATATATATATATATATATATATATATATATATATATATATATATATATATATATATATATATATATACATATTTAAATATATATATGTCTTTTAAATTGGGAAATTGTGTCAAAACCAAGGGCTTTGGGGTTGCATGAAGTATCTAAGGGGTGGAAGGATCTGCAAAAAGTGTTCAATAAAGTAATAGATGGGGAGGGGGTGTTGACCAACTTTAAAAGCACACGCTCTAATATCAAAAATATTTATGCATTTATGCATATTCTAAGTTTATAGAAATTTTATATGAATTTAGAATATAAATAATATAATTTTTTATTGAAAAAAAACAACAAAATGAGGGAGGGGGGTATTTCAAAAGCGTGAGTGACAGGAATAGTGTTAAAAAATTAACTTCAGAATAGTGTCAAATATATTAAAAAGCCTAATGTCGTAAAAAAAGTAATAGTTTCGCAAATGAATTTGATGAATAGTGTCGAAAATAAGAAAAAGGAATAGTGTCACAAATAGTCAAAAAATGGAATAGTGTCGCTAATAGTTAATTTCAGCAGTTGCTTACTCGTTTTGCTTAACTCTATAGCATACAGCTTTTACAGAGAAAAAAAGTGAAAAAAACAAAGAATAATGAAAGAAAAGATTGCTACCAAAACCCAAACCCTCAGTTGATGTATTGGCACTCCTTTGTGGCAGCAGGCTATAAGATAGTTGGTGTATGTACTGAAGCCTCCGATAGCAGGCTATTTTAGTATGACATCAGACATGTTATCTAAAAACACATTTATAGCTATTAATATTTTTTTATTTTTGTTACTATTCATTAAACTCCTTTAGGACATTATTCCTTTTTCTATTTTTGACACTATTCATTAAATTCATTTGCGACTCTACTCCTTATTCTGTTATTTGATAATTAATAATGCGACAATTTGCGACACTATTCCTTTTTCATATTTTCGACAATCAAATTTGCGACAATCAAAAGTTTGTGGCACTATTCCACCACACCAAAAGTGTACATACTTTTTAGGGGGGGGGGACTTAAAAGTACGCATGGCAACAGGGGGAGAGGGTTGTTAAATGGCTTAACACAGATGTAAATGATGGGCCACTTTACACTTTGAATAAAGGCCTGAATATTTATTTTGTATTTATAATATGTAAATGTAATAAAATTATTGTTATGTATTATATTAAAGCATCAAGTTATCATAATATCAAAAATCAAATCAAAAAAATAGTAAATAATCATAATATTTATCAAATATTACCGTGGAAAATAAATGTCTATTTAGGGGCAAAATCATTAACTTTTTTGTTACTCTAGAGTTTTATATTAATATAGAGTATTGAAATTTTGCACCATTATAAAGTAGTATATGACTAGTTAAATGTTTTTTGTAAGATTAAGATTTTGTGTTACAAAACCCAAAAAAGTATTTTTTCAAAATTATTGCAATTATTTTGTTATTAACTAAGCTTACTTACTTTTAAAATGTGTTATTGTTAAAATGTAAGGTAAAATATTTTATAATCCTTACTAAGAGATTCTTGTACATCTACTAAAAGTTGACTGAAAGAAAATACTCCAAATGCTTTATGATTATTTTGCCGTGAAGTAAGGTTTTTTGGCGTGAAGATGGCATATAGTACTATCCAGTTACTGTGATCTGTTTTAGAAATGTTTTACATTTTTTAAAAAAGTTGTACTCTTTATTGTTACAATTCCAAGAACCAAGAATATTTTTAACAAGAATATTTTAAAATCAATATTTTTGTCAAAGTTGTGATTTATTAAATATAATCTGCATTTAGATGAGGTTTTAACAAAAGGCAAAAAAGTTACATGGGTGTTGGATAGAATAGAACAATAGAAGCAAAAGAACCAGTACTTTTATAAATAGTTTTTGTTTTATTTTTAGCACGTGGAAATGAGTACCAAATGACAAATATTTTTAATGTATGGCTTCTGGAATATGTTGCTATGTGTAAAATTATACAAGGTCAAAGTGCACAAGCAATATTGGAGGTAATTTATATACATATCCATATTTTAAAATAGATATTGATTATATGTGTTAACTTTTTTGTTTTGATTTTAACACTTTAGATATCAAAAGTCTATGAAGTAAGCAGACAAGATCCTAAGCTAGCTAATATGACAAAGCCAAGTATTCACGTTATGTTGGTATGTAGTTAAAATATCATCAAATTATCTTTCTATATGATATGGAAAAGAGAGCTTTTTATATTATGAAAACATACACCAATTTACTTTAGAAAGTTGGTATTTTAGTAAGTCTCAGCAAAGTCTTGGTCACATTTGCTCATTTTTTTTACTCATAATCCAAGTTTTTACATCAAAATTGAATTTTAACATTTAAAAGTTAAGTTCAAATTTTCTTATTGTATTTCCTGTTTCTTTTCTATTGTAATTCCTGTGTTCCTATTGTAAATCTTTTGTTATTTAGCCCTCAGAGTTAGGGTCGGCATTCGGCAATGCCAACCTAAATGTTGACCTAAAAGTGTTTGTGGTTGGCAAAAAATCGCTGACATTGTTTCTACGTTTTATGGTAACCTTTTGTGTCAAATTTTTTTTACCAACCTCTAACTGTTTGAGGTCAGCGATTTATTGTCAACCTCATTTTTCGTAATTCCGAGGGTTGGTTATTAATTGTCAAAATGTTTTCAAAATTTTTATTTTTTAAAAATATTTCCATCAAAATTCTTAAGCTAAACTCAACAGAGCAAAAGTCATCTTGCCAACGTCTGCCATTCTAAATTATATACTATATCAAAGCATATTTGCCATAATGATTTTTTAATACCTTTTTTAGATAACATTTATTGCATGCAGAATAAGTAGTGACAACAATTAAAATATTTTTAGGATTTAATTTTTTTCCTGTGTTTAAAAAGTTTTCAATTGTCATACAAGTCTACAATAAGTACCAAAAGTAACATTTTAATCCATTAACTGTTTATAGTTTATATAATTAAAAATTTGTTTATTGTTATAATTATATTAATCATTATAATTACATTCATTAATTATATTATTTATTACTAATAATAAGCAACACCAAATACAGGTTATTAGTAAGTAAAACATTAATAAAAATTTAACTTGATCTGTTGTCTGAAATATATAATAAATTTTTATCAAACAGAAACAAAGGGGAGAGTCATATCAAGTTAAAAAAAAAAATTAATATTCAATTAAAAAAAGTTGAAAAAGAACTTATCATGTTGCAATGGAGAGAGCCTTGACGGCAATCTGGCAGTTTTGTTGGAGCATGTTTAACTGGTTCTCGAAGACAAATAGGCTGTCAGCATTTACAATCTCATCTGGTAGGCTATTCTAGTAGTTGACAAGTTGATTTGAGAAGAAGCTGCTTCTATTGCTGTTGGATCAAACTATTTCCTTAGTTAGTCATTTTCTGTGACAATGGCAAGACACAGAACAAATTGGAATGTTGTGCCGGTTAACAGTTTCTTTGCCAGGTTCTATTTTAAAAAGTTTTACAAAGTCTTTTACAAACCATGGTGACATCTTTCATTAAGCCTGGCCATTTCTAAAATGCGAGGGATCATATATGTCATATCTAGGGATCAAGCAGCCTATTCGATTGGACCTTGTTGACCAATCCATCTTTCAGAAAACTTTTCATTTAACCAAGCTCTAACATCAGTGTGCAGGAGCTCCGTCTTGTTGGAAATAGATTTGTCTGATAATGTGCTTTGAATCAATCCTGGATAAAAAAATTCTTTAATCATCTTGAGGTAGTTTTGGTTGTTGATAGTTGGTTCGTTAAAAAATATGGTCCTACCACACAGTTTAATAAATAGCGCACCAAAGGTAAACTTTTGAACTGTGCTGATTGTATTTTTCCACAGTATTTGGTTTTTTGTGACTTAACAGTTATGCTTATGAAATCTACCGGATACATGAAAAGCTAAATAGCTTTATCAGGAAAAAAAATAAAGTTTTTCAAAATATTATCTTCCAAGAGCGGCAACACATCTTCAGCAGTTTGGGCTCTACGATCAAAATCGTCTTTATATAATTTCTGGTTTATTTGGATTTTATAACTTGAGAAAACTTTCTGAATGTAAAGTGTTATGAATAATTTCTCTGGATAAATTTACTTCAACAAAAACATGGGATACTGTCCTTTAGCTTGTTGAACAAAAAATCACTTATCTGGTTTTTGGTGTTTTCATTGCTTCTTAGTGGTTTTCCGCTTCCATCTCAGTCTTCAACTGATCCAATCTCAAGAAAACAGTTATATATTGTAGTTATTGACATGGATCTGGTATTTCAACAATTTCCTGCTTCAGGCATCTGATAACCTTTTAGTATTATTTTAAAATGATAACTATTTCTGCATATAATGTTATATCAGATTTATAGACTTTAATTTTGTCTTATATTTAAGTTTACTTTTATAGACTTTCTGAACGCACTTTATTACAAGCTACTTAAGTTTTGCGTCTTTATACTCTCTCCAAAATATTTATTTTTTTAATTGTATGGGGGTTTCAAAAGCAGATAATTTGAGAAGAAGGCCTACTTATGTTATGTATAATTTTTTTCATAGTGCTTTGTTGTGCGAAGCAAATATCTTTTTAAGCATGCCAAGCATCTTGTTGGCCAAAATAATAGCAGTGCAATAATTATGATGCGTAATTCTTGTTTTTGATAATATCAATAATTATGATGCCTAATTCTTGTTTTTGATAAACTTAAATCTAAATTAAGTTGAGTCAACTTGTCAGTGTATAAGTGTGTATAAATATTGTATAAGTGTGCTTTTTATTCAGGCAAACGATGTGAAGGTTTTGTATTTGGAGGTGTTTAACCTTATATGCCATACTCTTGTCTACTCAGTTATAGTGTCAATGTCATTTTGGAGTAAAGTACAGTCATTCTGTTCCTAACAAAATTGATTTGGGGCAAGCAGCTTAGTGTCATTAGCAAATATTTTACAGATTGACCTAATTATATAGCGCTGGTACTTAATAAAGTTCAACCTCATTTTTCAAATTCCGAAAAATGTTGGTCCAAATACTGACCCTTGAGGAGCACTGGTGGAAACCAATACCCAGACCGATACTGCTTCACCCAGGATTACTCTTTGTTTACAGTTCCATAGAAGGATTTTATATGGAACTGTAAACAAAGAGTAATCCTTTTGACCTCGATGAAAAGCAAAGAAAAGCAGATGTGGAAAATGCTGATTTTTTCCTCCTGGGTATTCCATATATATATATATATATATATATATATATATACATACTCTGAACAGGTATATATATATATATATAACCCTCAGAATTAGGGTCAGCATTTGGAAATGTTGACCTAACTGCTGACTTTAAATTGTTTGAGGTGGGCAATTTTTTGCCGACCTCAAACAATTTAAGGTCGGCAATTAGGTCATATTCAGGCATTTAAATCAAACCAGATGAGGTTGGAAAATCTGACACAGTTTTCTATTTTGATCCCACTTATGTTTTTGTTCAATCTGGAAAGCATTAATCATCGATGGCGTATGCTCACAGATTGAAATTTGAATAACTTTTAACTCTGCCAGAGTTCAATTCCATTACAAAAGACCCTTTGACCAAGATGATCAAGCTAGTGGTTGTTAATTTAGCGTTATAGATTCTCCCTTATGATCATTATGGAACTTATCTAGACTGTCAAGGAATTTAAATTCATTTTTAATATCAACTCTTTATCAAAACACAAATATATAGCAAGACTTAAGAAATTAATTATCTGCATTGTGACTTATATTCAAGGTAGGACAGTTGATAAAAAAGAAGTATCCAAGATAGGATCTTCTTTTAGAGAAACAGAAAATTTTAATTTGGCTAGAAAGATCTGTGCCTTGATCTTTTCAGGTGTGAAGATTGATCAGTTTCCAATGGTGATTGAGTATATCGATCCAGATGGTAAGGTGGAATGCAATTCTTGTTATCTCTTATAAAAAGATCAAGAATGGTTTGCCTCTTTTGTGTGTACCAGCTAATGTTTCACGCAAATTGTGAAATGTGAGGATCCCAGATGTTGTTCTTTGTAAAGAGGCTCTAATTTCCATGTTATTCCCAGTAAATTTCTACCTCCACCTATTCCAACCTGCTAATCAGAAGATGGCTTGAAAGCTGTTTTAGACCAGTAAGAATCGTTTTCTATCTGTATTTTTTTTTTAATGGCCTTAATTGTAGTAAAAGAGAACGCAGCCTTTGCTGAATGGTTTGATAAAGTCGAAATGGAGGGCTTTAATATTTAAAATGGTTCGACTATTTCAGAAGAATAGGACTGCCCTATTCCAATTATATCAATTGACAATTGTTTAAAAAATCTTAGGATGGCAAAAGAGTAAGGCAAGTATGCACTTTGACTAAATTTAATGTATAGAATAAGAGTTTTTCAGGGAGGCCTGCAAGAACAAACAACTAAAACAAACGTGGAAATAAGCTACTGGATGATATTCAAACACAACAAAAATGTAATTAATATGAAAAAATTCAATAAAAATGCTAAATTAAAAACAGATTTTGATTTAAAAATTAAAGGGAGGATCCCAATTTTATGACATCCTTTTTAAGGGGGTATAGGAAAAAATGTCAACTGGCAATGAGTGGGGAGGAGGTGGTCAAAAATTGTCTAAAAAATGGTGATGTCCTTGATACGGCCCCAAACACAATTAGAGTTACTCATCTTCATGTAATTCATCTACATGAAAATTTAAGAATAAAACAAAAACTGAAGAGAAATTTTTTTTTTTATTAAGTATGAAAAAAGTAATGGAATTTTTTTTTTACTAAAAAAAATTTTACTATACTATATATATATATATATATATATATATATATATATATATATATATATATATATATATATATATATATATATATATATATATATATATATATATATATATATATATATATATATATATATATATATAATGTATAATGCGGTAGTGGTGCAGTGGTAGAGCGCTCGCTTCATAAACGAGTGGTTCCGAGTTCGATCCCCACCATGTCCCTGGTAGTACCGCGCTCAACTCATTTCTCCCCGCAGCGGCCTTGTTCGTCAAGGTTCATGTTTCGGAGTTATAGAGTTGAGAGAGGGTTATAGCCACAAATAAGTAGCCTCCTTGTCTGTAGTGGCCT